CCTCTTTCTGCCTGCCACTACAGCCAGCCCAAGCCCCATAGTACTGGTGGGGACCTGTGCGCACAGCCCCAATGCCATCCCGCCCTGTGCCTGCTCCAGACTTTCCCCAGCCAGAGCAGACCAGCTCTGGACCACCTGGAACCCATGCACACAGCCCTGACCCTGGCCCACCCCGTGCCTGCTCTGGACTGGCCTGCTCACGCTGAGCAGCGGCAGCTGCTGGGCAGAAGCTGCTGCTAGGTGTGGGGTAAAAGCGGCCACCTCCCCCTTGCTACTGTCAGGCCCTTCTTGTTGCAGCTGCCTGGAGCCCATGCCCTGCATCTCCTCTCCCCCACCATCACTGCCACCTCCAGGCCACCCAGCAGACCAGCGGTGACAGTGGAGAGGAACCACAGGGCAGCCCAGGCATGGGCTCTGCGCAGCCACATCAAGAAGAGCCTGGCAGCAGAGAGGGGGAAGCAGCTGCTTTCCCCCCACTGCTTAGCAGCAGCTTCTGCCCAGCTGCTGCCACTTCTGCCACTGCTCAGTGTGGGTGGGTAGTCCAGAACAGGTGTGGGGCAGGCTGGGATCGGGGCTGTGTGCACGGGCACTGGCTGATCTGTTTCGGCTGGGGTGAGTCTGCAGCTGGGTAAAGGCTGGGGCTATGTGCTCAGCTGCTGCTGGGCGCTGGTGGTGGCAGCAGGGAAGAGCCGCAAGGTGCATGGGCTCTAGACTGTTGGGGGCAAAGCAGGTGCTGATGCGGGGGGTGGTGCTGGCCAGTCCGTGATAGCTCTCCAGAACTGCCTACATGGCCTGCAGTCCCAAATGATTGCCCGCCTCTGACCTACAGACAGTTGTTAAAGGCTGTCAGCTAGTGAATAGCAATGGAAAGGCTGAAGTGTGGGAATGGGAGATAAAAGTTTTCTTCAATTTCTCTGCAGAAAAGTAGATTTTGGAGAAATGGAATTTCCTCAGAGCAAAGGATTGGAAGAGGCCCCCTAGGCCAGTGGTTGTCAGTCTTTTAGTTGTTGGCCAGAATGACCCTGCTCCTGTCAGAGGTGGAACTGGCCACAGTGATTCAATTTGTTGATTCAGATCACTGTCCTTGATTCGATTCCAATGAATCCATATCTGAAGAATCGATGCTGATTTGGAGAATCAGTGATTCAGCCACAGAGAACAGTTTTAAAAGTTTTAAAACTTTAAACACTGAGGTACAGGGCGTGGCTCATGAATGCAGTGATGCTCGGGCAGACGGAGCATCCCACTGGAGTGCCCGCATGCTCAGAGGTGAACCCAGAAGTGGACTGGAAGTACTTTCAGTCCACTTCCGGGTCCACTGGGGAGCACATGGGGGGACCCCCCTGCACCCTCCTGGCTCAGTGATTGGCCACGGGGGGGAGGGGGGGCTGGGTGCCCTCCCAGACCCAGGAGGCAGCAGTCACTGAGCCGGGGGGACACGGGAGGGCTCCCTGGTGGACCTGGAAGTGGACCGGAAGCGCTTCTGGTCCACTTCCAGGTCTGCTGCCAAGCGTGTTGGGAGCCCTCTGAACTCCTGTGGGACACTCCATCCACCCCAACATCGCAGCAGTCATGAGCTCCTGCTACCTAGAGGTATGTGGAAGAAACGTTTAAAGCTGTGTCTATATCTGAATCT